ATGAAAGTAGACTTAAAGAAATTCATGGGTCATGAAAGTTGGCTTTTAAAGAAATTAATGGGTCATGGAATTCATTCTGGTGACTTTCAGGGGAAATTCATGGGTCATGAAAGTAGACTTAAAAGAAATTCATGGGTCATGAAAAAAATTCCCCCTAATTCATGGAAAATTTAGGGCTTGAAATAACCCCATGAATTTTCATTTTGCAGTATTCATGGGTTTTTCACTAGAAATTCATGGAATTTTCATAAAACTACAGTTCATAGTGTATGGCAATCAGTTATATTCTACTTCAAAATACTTTCATTGTGGGTTTTATTTCTTTTGCTCTTTAATAAGATATTTTTTCATTTTCCTAAATTAGGTGACTGTGACAAAGAGAGTAACCAAAAATCCCTGGACAGGATTCCAAGCATTGCCCATGATTTGCAGAGTGAAGTAAGGTAAGTTAATCAATAAATTACAATTAACCAAAGTTGCAGAATGTAAATTTATGGGATTATGTACTCAAGGCTTCTGTTGGCAGAGTATTGACCAATGCTATTAGTTGACATGTGGACCACATGTCAGTCAATACATTATCCAACTGTTGATTCCCATGTTTTTCAAGTTGGTAGAGTGATGGTTGCCACTATTGGTCGATACTTGATTGGAATGTCAGTCAACACTTGACCGACAGATGTCTTAAGTACACATGATTCCATTTACATATGTACTTTATTTCTTACATCATGGCCATGCTCACTTAAAAAAAGAGATTTCTAACAAATGATTATATGTTCTGCTAAGCTAAGATTAAATATTCTTTGAATGCATTATCAATGGTCATTTGCAGACAAGATACCAAGCAGTGATGGATAAATAAATTTTGCGGAAAAACATTTTCAGAGCTGTCCTTTTAAATTGATGGGGGTTTACACCCATTATAAAACTACCCCATGCTTTTTTTAGCTCAAGGCCTGGATCTGCCATTGGTTTACTTTTATTTCAAAGGTACATTTGTTGAAAAAAAAATTGTTTTTATAAAAGGGCATGGCTTTTTTCTGTTCCAAGATGAAAAGCAAATGAAGTTTAAGCTAAGTTTTCATTGTCATGCTCGAATATCAATAGAAAAAAATATTTGTTCACCATATATAACCCCTTACCAGCTTACTGTAATATGCGAAAGGCAATTTGTTTTTTAACCTAGGCATCGGTTACAAAGGTTAGTGTGACCTTTCATTTCTACAATTTAAAAGAGCAACCATTTATTTAAGTGCCCACCCCAGTGGATAGGATAAGTTGATAAGCATTCAGCCTTTAGTAAGCTGGATGTTTCAAGCTTTTTATTTCACAAATCATTAACAGATTACTATTTGGCAAATTACAGATTTCTATCTGCAAATTACAGATTTTGTTTTCATTTTATTTTGTTTTGTTTTGTTTCATTTCACAAATTACAGTAAGGCCCCCTTACCATTCATGCGAGAGTAATATCAACTAGTCACAAGAAAGTTGATATTAATTTTTTTTTACCAGTTAGAGAAGTCAACAGTCACAGAAACTTGCTGCTATTAGATTTTGAGCTCTCTTATAATGATTGACAAGCTTGTACAAGTGACATTTTAAACCTCTGTCAATATTCTTTTTAGCACTCATGGAAATGGGAGTATCAATTCAGTGGAGAAAGGTAGGCCACTGCATGGTAATGTGCTGACTTTGACTCTTAACAACTTTTCAACCATGGGGTGTTCACCCAGTAACTGAGTTGTGGCAGAGAATGAGCATTAACATCACCCTTACAGTCAATCATGCTAGACAGCTGGCATGTTTTTGCAAATTCAAAGAGATGTTTTTTTGTATTAGGTACTTATGTGAAAAGTAGAGTGTCCAACTTTTTTATTGACAATATGAGTTTGAGCTATTCAGCCTGCCTCTGCTTAAACTAAACTATTTACAATTAAAAAGAAATTAAAGAAAATTAAAAAATCAATGTAGGGGTATTTTAATATTAATAACAAGGTTGGGGTGTAAACATAGTGCTGACCTAAAAAAGGCTTTTGAACAAATTAAAGGAATAGAAAAACCAGGGTTAAAATTTAGCCCTTGTTTAGTGCTAATCCACCTTCAGACAATTGGACCCTGAGCATTTTTCTGTCCACTCATTAGTAATTGATTTGAATTTGTTTTTCCCAATAGATCTTACTCCATCAATTGTGAGTATACAGTCCAATTTTATGTTGCTGATTTCAGTCGAATTTAAAAAAATTATATCAATCAGTTATTATATATAATTGTTCTGAATAGTGCTCAGCTTTCATGCATGACATAAAGTCCCTTAGGTGGGAGGTTGAACCTTGTTGGGGGTGGGGTGGGAAGTTTGAACTGAGAGTGTCCAGTCTTTCCATCGGAAATTGCATGCATGCATGTTTTGTTTTGATATGGAGGAGTTTCAAGGTAAGTAGTTCGCTTTCATGAACCAGTGACTTACATACCTACGTTAATTGACCACTCCCTCATAGAGCTTTTCAGGGCCATTCACAACATCACCCACCCATCCCACCTCGGGGGAGGACATCCACCACACAGTAATGTCGTGTGTGGGTAATTAACGACTCCTACCCCTAACCCTGCAGGAGACGGGGCCTACGGTTTATTCGTCCTTATCCGAGAAGACTAGAATATCTATCCATTTCTTGATATAATAGAAAGGTAGCAAATTCTCCTCAGTTATTTTAAGACTATGTACACGACTCACTTTATAGTTATTTGTGTGTCAATAATTTAATTTATTATTCAACTACACTTAGACGAGTACAAATAACGCCATAGACGAGTACAAATATCACGCGGTATTTGTACTAGTCTATTGTAGAGTACCGGTTAAATAGGTTTTCTTGCATCGCGCAAGCGAAAATTTGGATTGTAGTTACGAAAAAAAAAGTGGCGGACAATTTGAATCATATTTCCGACGACGAAGAGTCAGAATGGCTGGCAAATATTGATCCAAGTTTATTAGATGAATCAAACAAAGAAAAACAGCTTGACGACTAGAAAAGTTCTTCATTTAATGAAGAAAATAGAAACAGCAACACAACGCGCCAATTCTGTTCCGCTTCGCATACTTCTGTCACGCACTCCTCGTAAATAAATATCCGCGAAATTCGCCCGCACTGAAATAACAGTTTGGCGTGTTGGATAATAAATAACTTATTAGACGTTTTGTTGTGTAGTATCGCTGAGTATTTTTACTCGTTATTTGTATTTTGACTCGCCCTACGGGCTCGTCAAAATACGGCACAACTCGTAAAAATACTCAGCGATACTACACAACAAAACGTCTAATAAGTTATTTATTATCCAACACGCCAAACTGTTATTTCAGTGCGGGCGAATTTCGCGGATATTTATTTACGAGGAGTGCGTGACAGAAGTATGCGAAGCGGAAC